CCTGAGCCGATAGACTCCATAGTCACTGCTACATGCTGCACGTTTCTGTGGTCACTTGCATTACTCAGAAACCACTTTGCATAGCAACGAGAGACACAATAGAGTTCATGTTGCTAGGAAAAGTTTACGTCAAGGAACAGAAAAAAGATCACCTGTCTAACACTTGGCTAACCATGTATAGATTAGAAAGAAACAGAAAGAAGAAAGCTTGCCTATGCTTGTTAATCGAAAGAAGAAATAAAAAATAATCACATCCTTGTGCAAAATGATCTACATAAAGCTGTCATCGGCACTTTGTCGTGAGGCCTTCTCCAACTGACTCCGTGTCCTGTCTCTCCATACGCCAACTCCATCCTGCATCTTCAGGCATCCCACCCCTAGGCTGGAGCTGGACTCCCGCAGAAGGGATTCTGCATCCACTGGATACACAATTTTGTATAATCTCTTGTGACCCATACTGTGACAGATTATTATAAATGGAATGAACCACTGATTGAATAATTTCATCATCATTGGGATATAAGGAGTCCACATACTGTATAATCATATCATGTTTGGAGATCTCTGTTGTAATGTACTTAATAACTTCATTTGAAGGAAATCCTGTTCTGTGAACCCTTTGCCCTCAGACGTTTCTGCTTTGGTGTTAGACACAGTTGAGAAAATTTTAGATAAGAGAGCAGAAATCACATTCTCTCAAAATTCATGAAGCAGCATGACGGTATATGGTGACAATGCCTGACATTCTTTGCTGGCTCTTTTAACCACTTTTTTGGATCTTTTTAACAAAATCCTTAGATTCGAGAGGCAAACATGCTAAAGGTGGAATCTCATCACAAAATATAAAATTAAGCTACTGTTGAAAAATTTCATTTATCAGTGCACTAGTTAGTTGTCTTGCTATACTTTCCCCATTAGTTTTTATAGTCTTACGAATGGAGTCTTGAGACCTATATTCCTTCAAAATATTGCATACAGAAGAGTGAACAACTTCGTTGACCAATCGATTGGCTTGATCGATTGCTGGTATGTTATTTAGGACAGGTATCTTGTTTAAGGAGGAGTTTTTAGTCATTTTGTGTATATGTGGAATTTTATTCACAGTTTTCTTAATGCTAGGTGATGCTTCTCTGAGTTGACTCTTTATGCCCGGAAAGTACTTTAGGAACTGATGATGACATGTTTTCTACTAATGGAAGATACTGATTTTCCGGATCTGTTCTAAATACCTTAATTTGAGCATCTGAAAACTCCTTTAACAGTGAATCAATAAGTTTCATAGCTGTTTCATACAGTTCCATTTGATTTTCATCATCACTTACATTTTGACATCTTTCACACATTTGTGTTTCTGTTGAGGAAGAAAGGTCAATTTGTTAATCATGTCAGTGATAATATCTTCTAAAAACTTAGCAGGAAAAATTCCAGGTTTATGTTTTGGTTGGTACTGATAAGTATTTGTTTTACTAGGTTCAATTTTAATCTCCTTTACTTTCAATTTCTCTTTCTCTCTCTTTCTCTCCCTCTTTCTCTATGGCAGGGAAATTTTTGCTAATTGAGAGGTATAGATCCTTTGTTGAAACAGACTGTGCAGTATCCTTGCCAACCTCCTGAATTACCTACAGTGACCTATCACTGGGGGACTTTGGACATGTGAATCATCTGTGGATCCTTGAGAATGATATATTTCTAAGATATCATCATAAGTATTTTCAATGATATTTTGAACATGTTCGTAATCTGAATATTGTTCCTCATTTACAGCTATTTGAGATGTAGAGGCTTGTCTTTCCACTCCATTTGTTTTTGGGGTACCTGCTTTCAAAATTTTCTCTGTTGTGGTCTCTGTATTTCTCACTTTAGATGCCAAAGAAGATAAATGAAAGAGCTTGTCTCCTTTTTTTAATGAATTTTCTCTTAGTCTGTTAATCTTTTCGCTGTCTGTTTCAAAATCTGCTCCAGGTTTCTCCTCATGTTCTATATCATTAGTAGCTGCTGGAAATTGTGTGTGTGCCTCATTACCTTGGCTTTCCTCAGATTCTGGAGCTATGTACTTTTCTTCTCAGTGTCTTTATTTTTATGTGTTAGTCTTAAGTCTGGGTCCTTTTGTATCTTTACTTTTCATACTAGTAGTTGAAGTAACTTTTGATATATTCTCATTGTATTTTTTTAATTGAAATTCCCATTTAATTTTCCTTCTTTTTGTCTGCCACACCTGCAGCTGACTCTGATAACAGGTTAACCACATTATTTTTCATGATTCCAGCTATAGCGGTAACTATCAGATCTTGGATGTTGCCTTTTTTCATTGATGTCTCCTCACCTTTGAAACCTTTCTTTCTACTCATTGCACTTCTATCTCTTTCCAATGTGTTCAGTGAATTTTTCTGGTCTGACTTTAGAGAAGTATGTTTATATGATTGTGTTGGTAAAGCAAGTTGGTTCCCTTTTAAGCATCTGTTTACTGGTGTAGAAATTTTCTCTGTTAGGCATTGAATCCTCTGGGTGATGTTATCTGGATTTAGAAATGAAAAGAAGGTAGAAGACCCATCTCCTGAAAAAAGTGGTTGAATTTTGAATGCAGAGATTGCCTTCTGGGCTAAAGCAGTAACATTTCTATAGCAATGTTATTTTTATCATCCTTCTGAACATCATTAGATCCATAGTTTGCTATGAATTGATTATGCACAAAATCGGGGATCTTATCAACTGTCTCTTTATCAATTGGTGGAAAAGAAAACACTTCTTCAGCATTTGGTAGAACTTTAATTTCACTTTTCCTTAATTCTCCTGTCAGACAGTCTGCAAATTTTATAGCGAAGTCCACAATGTCTGGTTCTGGCATTTGTATTTTCTTAGAATCTTCAGTAACGCTTTGAAGAGAATAAAATTTGTGAGCAAAGTCAATGATTACATCTTCCAGAAATGTAGCTGAATATAGAGAAGGTGGTATCTTTTCTTTACCAGGTTTAGAAAGTACAGAGACCTGGTCATAATCAGAGTCCCTGGAAGATGACTCTTTACCATGTACAAATGGCTGCAAATGATGATCCATGATCTCCCTCATAATGAAGCCAGCTATTTTACTGAGGAATGAGCCTCCTTTTTTCTTTGCATCTTCCTGTACTTCAGCTTGAAATTCAGATTTTTAAAAAATATTATTACATATAGAGTCAACCAAATTCTCAGTCACTTCTAACTGTATACTTTCTGCATTCTCTTCTGCTGTAGCAAGATGGATCTCATATTCAGAAATTTCTTTGATAATTTCATCAGTCAGTTTTGAATCTGCATCCACAAACTCATAATCTGGTGAAACTTCTTCCTCTTCTGGTTCACTGTCAGCTTCAGTTGAAGGGAAGATGTGCACTGGAAGCTTGTAAATCATATCTTCTAAAAGAGGATGAGGCAGCACAGTAACGCATGTATGGCTATCCTTCATGATAAAGTTGAGTACATTTCTGATATTATCAGCTTGAGGGGAAGAATCGGAAGAAGGAACTAATTCTCCTGGAACTAATGACTGTACCTGATAATCATAAATTTCTTCCAATAGCAAATGATATATTTTCCTTCCAAAACAAATAGTGTCACTCTGTATAGCCCAATAATGTACTTGAATCAGAGATTTATAGTCATGTAATATTTTTTCATAAATTAGGTTGACTGGTTTCTGTACCATTTCTCTAAACCCTTCTGAAGAGCACGTGTCACCATCAAAGTACTCTACAAATAAAATCTCTGATGTGGTGATTTCCAGAACAATTCATTTTACTAATGTTGTAACAATGCCAGTAATTTTGGCTTTTACTGTGTCTGGGTTTTCAGCAGCCAAGACATTATGTGAGAATGCATAAAGGGGTTTACATAAAGGCTCAGAAATTACTTCTTCTACAAAGATAGCTGAGTTCACAATGAAAGACAACTCTCCTTGTTTAGGATCTATTGCTTTCTGTTTATAAATTTGCTCAACTGCAGCTAAGAGTTTTATCTGCAGATAAAAATGACTAAAGATGGTGGTTAAAAATTTCTTTTATTACAAAGCTTGCTATTTTTGAAACAGGTATGTTACTTATACATATTTAACTTTTGTAAGAGACTGGTATAGATCTGAATAAGAAAGATCAGCATAAATGGCATCAACTATAGACTATCTTTTTCTGAAATCATACATTTTTTTTCATTCCCGTGTTTAATTGTTCATATTGCATGTGTTGAAATTACTGACATGATTTCATTCATCAGTTTCATAACTGTATTGTCTGATTGAGAAGTAATCTGGGTGTTCTGTACTGGAGGCCAAGGGACACAGCTCAGATAAATCTTATAAATCTTAGTGACAATTGTTTTGAAATGAGTATGTGTTAACATAGTGTATGTTGATGAAGCTTGTCTTTGGTATCTCGATTTAGTGATATCACACTGAACTCTCTTTATCAAAACATTAGTACTGAGTTTGGAGTGAGACTTAAAAGGAAGCTTTTGTATAAGATTTGGATGAATTTGGAAGTCAAAAGTTTCAGCCAGGATGATTTTGGTTATCCTTGCAGCCAGTGTCCCTGTGTCATGTAGAAAATCTTTATTGGGCATTATTTCCATTTCATATTCTTGTAGAACTTTGCTATGCACTGTGTCAATAATGTTTTTAACTATGCCTCTCTCCACTGGAGGCAAACACAATTGTTTCTCAGCATTCTCTAGAATGCTAACTTGAGCTTTTGAGAATGCCTCTGCTATCGAATGTATGACTTTTTCAGCTTTATCAAACAGTTCATTTTCTGAATCTTTTACATAAAACCACTGCCTCCTTTCTTCACCAAAATATGTATATGAACAAGGTAATGACTTTCCATCCACAAATGGCTGAAGATGTTGCTGACATATGTTTAATGATAAAACCTGCTACTCTCTCAATAAGAACATCATCATCGGTTGTGATGTTTTGCTCAACTAATTCTTGAGACTCAGAGTTTTGTGAAATTTTTTTTAATACTTTGTCAACAAGATGCTGAACATCATCTTCTGAATAAACAAACTTGGTTTCTTCTTTATTTTTTGAAAATCGAATTTCATGTTGGGAAATTTTTGTCCTAATGTCAGTGATCGTATTTGAAGCAATTTCATTGAAATTCAATCTTGACTGTCTTTGGTGGTTTCTTTGGAACAATGGTAGATTCAGAAGAAAAGATTCTAGATAATAGTACTCTGGTCACGTCTTCTAAAAATGTGTATGATAGCAAGGTGTTATATGGAAATAAACTCTGACATGGCTTGGTAGATTTACTGATGTTACTAAGGCTGTCCGGAACAATATTTTTAGCGGTTGAAATAGAACAGGAAGGTGAGGACAAATCCCCGGAGAACAGTGGATGAAGAAAGTAACGTGAAATAGCTGCTATGATTAAATTGGCAATATTGTCTGCAAAAGTACTAGTGTCTTCAGACTCTTTACAAACCTCAGGGTCTAGCCCATGCTGTTTTAAAACATTTCTATAAACTGAGGTGACAACTTAATCCACAATATCTGTATCTACAGAAGGGTAAGGCTGCTCTTTATCATCACATAGAATGCGAACTTTGGCTTTGTCCACATGGTTATTTATAGAGCATACTATTTTTGGGGTCATATTTTCCAGCTCAATTTCAGTGTTACGCTTTGGACCGAAAACCTTTGATAAAAGTCTGGCAACAATTTCCCCAACAAAAGTATCAGGGTCAGTACATAAGGGTGAAGGCATCTGGGGTCCAGGTGACTCTGTGACTTCATTGAGAACCTGATTAACCATAGGTGATGCTGCATACAATGGAGTCCTTGGATTAGGTAAACCTTCTCCACTCCAAAATGGTTGGAAGATGATTTTCAATAATCTCTTGGATAATGAAACTGGCTGTTTGGTCAACCATAATTGGGCTTTGGCTGACTATACTTTTCTGTATTGAAAGAGGAGAGTCAGACATTTGCACAATATTTCTATAAACAGAACCCACCATCTTCTGAAGGTTTTTTCCTGTACTTAGATATTATCATACGTGGTTGACAAAATTTGATGTCTTGAAATGGCTGACATAACATTATTTGTTATACAGGTAGACATTCCATTGAAATTTGAAACTCATGCTATACTCCTTTCCTACAGAGGATGCCTTATTCGGTAGAGGAAGGAGCTGAGATAAAAGTCTTCTGATGATACCTCAACATGGTTATTGTTCCTCAATAGCGGAACAAATAACTACGGCACATTGTTAGACCAATTCAGAGAATTGGTCTCTGAATGCTTAAGCTTACACTGCTCCTTCTCTTCTTTGGATTCTTCTTATAGGAAGTTATACACACTGGAACATTTAGCTACTTAAGAGAGTTGAGTGGGAACCTTTGGTTAATAGTGCAGTTACTGTTGTGACCCAGTGTCTATCTCCCAGGTTAAAACAAAAACAAAGCACACTAGCAAATTCTTGATCCAAGACCCTGCAGTTCTAGAAAGGACGTATAGACCAGAGAACTAGAAATGGGCCATCATGTTGTGAAGGGACACTTTAAGAAGTGTCCACAGTGGGTAGCTAAGGGGAGGAAGAATAATGAGGAGTTGAGGGAAGGTCTATGGCTGAAGAGTTGCCCATGGTTTTACTGAGCACCATATTCTTCCCATAAGCATTACTTTCATCTCAGATTTCTATATGTATATTGCTTTAATTTCACATACCCAGCATATGAAATCAAATGTTCTTGGTTGTATGAAGATGAACTCCTAATTCTGTCAGTGAAGTAATGTATTGGTTCAAGAGTAAGATTCCTTCCTTCTTTCTGAAAGGTGAAAACCAGGTATTACATGCAAGAGTTTGATATATATACTTTCCCACCTTATTGGCATATTTTGCATCCTGACATACACATTAAATGACACAAAGCTTTAGGGACTACTTAAAAGATAGATGAATCCTATAATTCTAATTAAAATGTTTCTAATGTTCTTTGAAAATGCTTCAGTGAATTACTGAGCACCATATTCTTCCCATAAGCATTACTTTCATCTCAGATTTCTATATGTATATTGCTTTAATTTCACATACCCAGCATATGAAATCAAATGTTCTTGGTTGTATGAAGATGAACTCCTAATTCTGTCAGTGAAGTAATGTATTGGTTCAAGAGTAAGATTCCTTCCTTCTTTCTGAAAGGTGAAAACCAGGTATTACATGCAAGAGTTTGATATATATACTTTCCCACCTTATTGGCATATTTTGCATCCTGACATACACATTAAATGACACAAAGCTTTAGGGACTACCTAAAAGATAGATGAATCCTATAATTCTAATTAAAATGTTTCTAATGTTCTTTGAAAATGCTTCAGTGAAAGGTGGTCACTCAGAATTCTTAATTTTTTCCCAATACTGAGGAAAGCAACCACTCAAAAAGAATGTACTGAACCTCCTTCAGTGACTGGGGAGATCTGAGGGTACAGCTTAGCCTAGAGAAACAAAGACATGAAAAGGTTTGAGTGAAGTGCACACTGTAACCCAGTATGATTTAAATTATAAAATTATACTGTTGAGTGAAATTATGCAAACCAAGGGCAATACAAATTATAAGTTAATTAGGGGCTGTGAGCAGAAAGAATCTTGAAAGATTGAAGTTGTTACATATATACATGCTAAACAATACTTTAGGTTTGCTGTGGGCTTTTTGTTTTCTGGTGACTGTTAGTGCAAATTCCCTTAATGTATTTTGCATGATGGAGCACCTGAATTTTAACGGCAAGTAGAAAAAATTTTTAAAGTAAGATAGTTAAAAATTACCTTTGCACTTAACATTGTTGTACAGTACAAACTATTGCTTCCTGGGATCACGGGCAACTTGACCCCAAGAGGGAGATCAGTAGTCGGGCCACTCTCACCCCTGGAAAGTGGGTTTTGTGGGCACCCTGTGAGAGACAATTGGAGAGTTTTGTCTTTCCTTTTGGCTATGACTCATTTAGTGTAGACCCAGCTACTTCTACTCCAACCAAAAAAACCCAGAGAGTCCCACACTCAGGCCCTAAGGACCTCTCCCTAACAGCCCCGAAGCCCTCCCGCTTCTCGCCTTCCAGCTCCTCTCCGCCGCCCCGCAGCCGCTTGGGGGCAGAGGAGCCCGAACCTCCGGCTGCGCCAGGACGCTGAGGCATCTGGTACGGGACAGTTATGGCCCAGGAGCCCCGCCTGTGGCTAGCCCTGCCCCCTTCCCCAAAGGCTGGAGCCCCGGTGGGGGCCTCGACGACGGGCGTGCTGCCATGCACGTGTCTGCACTGCCGGCTGTAACTACCCATACTGTTCCTGTTGCTCAAACTGGTTTGTCTTCTAGCTTAGGAATCTTGCTACCACAATGGACTATTCCTATTGGCCTCAGCTCAGGCAGAGGGGACATGTGAGTAGCAATTTAATTCATCAGTTATGCTAGCAACCACTGGCATATCAATCACTTTCCCTTTCTTGGCCCAGTAGAGCAAGTTCAAAATATTGTTTAATCCCTGCTCTAAATTTTCATTTGCAAAAGTTAGTTTGTTAAAACTAAAGGTAGAAATATTATAAGAAAGTACTGCGCATACAAACAAACCTTTCTTTCAAACCCTTTGTAAAGAAACCAGATTTAAGTGTTTAAATTACCTATTCTTTTATGTACTTTCTTTCAAAACCTAGTTTTAAACTTGTAAGATATTCTCTGTACTTATTAAATTCCTTCAAGGTACATACAACCTAGAACAACAACAAAAAAATCTAAATACACATATTTGAAAATCCTAACAATTACTTTCCGGAGTAAAAATAATAATAGCGTACCATTTTGGTGACTTTGGGTATCAAGAATATAAATTGCTAAACACTTTTTAAGTGATCTGTCTACAATTGTTAATCAATAGGCAGTCTTTATCCAGACAACACTATTAATAATACTTGTGCCACAAAAAGGAATTTAGTACACCCAACTGGAGTTACTAAAATACTAATGTAATAGTAGTGTTCATTCAAACCCAGCATGAACCCAGTCTGTTAGGATTCTACCAAGCTGATTTTGCTAGGTTCCCATTCTGTCTCAATTTTTCAAGAAGTGTATGGGACCTAATCCTTGACAAAGCATATGACATCAGAGACAGAGGCCTATGATATAGTTAGGAAAATTATCTTGACATCCTCAAATTATTTGGCCCCCCTCTTTTGATATTACAAAGAAAAAAGGTGAAGGGAAAAGGTTTAATTGATAAACTGTTTTACCTGATTTCCCTTGACCCATACACTAAGCAATTAATGGAATTTCCCATTAACCATTTCCCCTGACTGAGATAAAGGTGATACCCCTTCTATACCCCAGAAATATATGGAGACTTTCAATGATTAAAGAGAAGTGATCTTCAACTCACTTTATTATTGCTGGGGATGTATCCACCTTTCTTTACTTGCCAGGATATCTTTGCATCTATGGTACGTACCCTCTTAGATGTAGATCATGGAGATGATCATACTCATTTTCCAAAAGGTGACAATGAGGATCTGTCAGGTTAAAACCAAAAGAAGGTTTAAAAAGCTACAAACACAAATTTTGAAGCATTATAAATGTAAAATTAGTTGTTTAAGTATTAGTTACTGTAAATGCAAAATTAGAATTTCATTTTTAAATATCAATCCATTGAAATGACTAGACTGTTCACTGAAAATAAAGCATGCAAGAAGAATTTGACGGAAAAATGAGCAACAGAAAAATCTGGATTAAGTAACACTAATTGTTTATCCCTACCTCTTTCTCCACTTACCTAAAAGCCCACCCTCCCTCAATGAGTTCCTCCCCTGAACTCCATCAGTCAGTCCCTGGCCCTGAGACAGAGAAGAAAGGAGGAAAGGAAAAGAAAGGGAATAGGGAGAAAGTTTGCTTTACTGTAAAAGGTAATGCTAAGATTCATCTTTTTCCTCTTCCCTCTTCCAGGCCAAGGTGTTATATTCAGTGGATAAAGGGATAATACTAATTATGATTATTATACCTCAGTAATCTGAAAACGGGAGAAAAATTGAAAAGTCTTTTTTTACAGGATTCACTGAAGCAATTTTAACAAAAAATAGAAGGAAAACTCAAGATGTTAAAGATAGTGGATTAAAGAGTTATTTTTTAATAAATGGGGTCTTAGCTGATGCAAGAAACTCCTTATCTGACTGCCACAGTCAGGAAAAAATTCAAGGCCTTTGTTATAAAGCTCAATATATTGAAGAGCCAATTATAAAGGATATTGGTTAGGACTGAGGTTTCTCCATATGTGTGAAGACCAAATACAACCTTATATAATAGCCATTAACATATAAAAGGTGAAAAATTTAAGCTACAGTCATGTTTCTATATCTATTACTTTAGGGGAAAAAGCTAAGTTACTTAATTTCACTTGTAACTTAAAATGTTACCAAAGTGAATAGAAGGGATTTTTGTTTGTTTTGTATTTGGTGTGAGTTCTTAGTCCATTTTTTAAATTACAGCATGGCAATGGAAGAACCTCTGAAAGGGGAAAAGTGCAGGGTGGAAGTCCTGATATTGCCTTTGCATTCTTTCTTTTTGCTTTCCTTGAAGTTTTTTTTTTTTTTGAATACAACAAGTTTAGGTCTGAAGTAGTATCAAAGCAGGAATTGGCTCGAGTGAAAGGCAATTAGAATGTGTGGGAGATGTAGAGAACGTGAGAACAGCTGCCCTGTTTACAGGCATCCTGTCCCATTTATAAGACCCCGCCCATTGTTCACCAATCCAGACCTGTCTGCAGGTACCAATTTGTTACCTCTGTATTTAGTCTGGCAGTTGTACCTCAGTGAGATTTTGAACACTGAGGAGCCTGGCTGGTAGGACTGTAAATAACTCCCTCAAGGTAGGTTAAAGGATGTCTCAGATGTGAGCAAAAAGGCAGATTAAAGGAACCTGATAGGATGCTAGATTTCATTTTCCATTTAAAAGTTTCCTTGGTAAGTTTCTTATCTCTGCTTAACACCAGACTTTAATCCCTTCTAAGGGTCTAAATCATAAAGTGGAATTCCTCTAATTACCAATGCTTCCTTGAGAGGGTAAAGAAAGGAATTGCACAAGGTAATGTCTTGAAGTTAGTGAGACCAGATAAGAAGCCTCTATCTTTCCTGTGAAGGGAAACACTCAACAGTCAGTCAAGGAGTGGACTGTTCTTTTAGATTGTGAATTTTAGCTGTTATGGCAGTATGTTTCTCAAGACCAAACCTGGGCTACTGCCTGTAAAGAAAGAGTACCTTTAAGATAATCCATTCATTACAGCCATGGTAACCCTTCCATTTTCAGTTAAAATAATTGTTTTTCCTTTAAAAAATGTTTGGGCAGAATTAATTTAACATGGAATATCTTTTCAAAATATAGTTTACAAGAGAGGAGCCAAGAGGTGGCATTAGTAGAGCAGCAGAAATCTCCTCCCAAAACCATATATATTTTTGAAAATTCAACAAATACAACTATTCCTAAAAGGGAGACCAGAGGATACTGTACATCGGCCAGGGTACATCTACATCTGGAAGACAAAAGCACCTCGCAAAGGGGGTAAGATACAAGTTGTGACCTGGGTGGACACAAGTGCACACCTCACCCCAGGTCCCCATTGGTAGGAGAGTAGTCAGAGCGGAAATGTAGAGGGAGCCCAGGACTGCTAAATACCCAGCCCTAGCCATGTGCACTGGGAGTACAGACACAGTATGTGGTGTGCTGGATAATAGGGAAACGGAACAGTAAAACCTGCGAGTGGGTCCCTGCAGCCAGCACCCCTGGGACAAGAGAAAAGTGAGTGTTTTTGAAAGTCTTAAAGGGACAGGGAACCCACAGCTGGATGGAAGTGTCCCAGGACACTCAGCCTAGCAGCTGGGAATCTCGGGGAACTCCAGGTGCCCTAACCCCCTGGGCGGAAGCGCAGCTCGGAGGCCCCTCATGGTGATAAAAAGCCTACTGACCATTCCCCTTCCAGCAAGGTCCCACAATAGCGGTGCAGCAGCCTGAGGCAGGCCACACCCACAGCAATGGCGGAGTGTACTCCACAGCAGCTGGGCAAGAATCAGAGACCCTTTCTGCGCACAGCTGCCCAGCATAAGCCACTAGGGGTCACTGTTCTCCCAGGAGAGGAAGGCCAGAAACTAGCAAAGAGAGACATTCTCCCAGCCGACACACGCACCAGCTCCTAACAACTAACTATCTCTATGAAAAGGAGGAAGAAGTTGATCCAGACCAAAATCAGACACAACCCCTGAGAAGGAGCTTGGAGAGATAGACCTAACCAATCTTCCTGAAAAAGTATTAAAAATAAAGATCATATCCATGCTGATGGAGCTGCAGAGAAAAATGCAAGAGCTAATGGACAAAGAAGGGAGGGAGACTACAGAAATAAACAATCACTGGAAGGACCTAAAAGCAGAATGGATGAGAAGCAATAGGCCAATAATGCATTAGAAACCAGAAAACAGGAATGCATAGAAGCTGAAGCAGAGGGAGATAAAAGGATCTCCTGGAAAGAAACAATATTAAGAGAACTGTGTGACCAATCCAAAAGGAACAATATCCATATAGGGGTATCAGAAGAAGAAGAAGAGAGAAAAAGGGATAGAAAGTGTATTTGAAGAAATAATTGCTGAAAACTTCCCCAAACTGGGGGAGGAAATAGTCGCTCAGACCACATAAGTACACAGAACTCCCAACAGAAGGGACCCAAGGAGGACAACACCAAGATACATAATAATTAAAATGGCAAAGATCAAAGACAAGGACAAGAGTTTTAAAGGCAGCTAGAGAGAGGAAAAAGGTCATCTACAAAGGAAAACCCATCAGGCTATTATCAGACTTCTCAACAGAAACCTTACAGGCCAGAAGAGAATGGCATGATATATTTAATGCAACGAAACAGAACAGCCTTCAACCAAGAATACTGTATGCAGCACGATTATTATTTAAATGAAAGGAGGAATAAAACAATTCCCAGTCAAGCAAAAGTTGAGGGAATTTGCCTGCCACAAACCACATCTCCAGCATATTTTAGAGGGACTGCTCTAGATGGGAGCACTCCTAAGACTAAATAGGTGTCACCAGAGAAAATAAAATCACAGCAGAGAAAGCAGACCAACCAAATATTAAAGGCAAAACATAAAAGCAACTACGCACAAAAGCAGTTAAAGGAAACAGAAAACAGCACAGAAAAAAGAAAGAATGGAGGAGGAGGAATAAGAAGGGAGAGAAATAAAGAATCATGAGACAATGTTTATAATAGGTCAATAAGCGAGTTAAGTTAGACAGTAAGATACTAAAATAGCTAACCTTTAACCTTTGGTAACCACGAATCTAAAGCATTCAATGGCAATAAGTAAATATATTTCAATAATCACCCTACATGTAAATGGACTGAGTACACCAATCAAAAGACACAGAGTAATAGAATGGATAGAAAAGCAAGACTGAACTATATGCTGCTTAGAAGAGATACACCTCAAACCCAAAGACATGCACAGATTAAAAGTCAAGGGATGGAAAAAGATATTCCATGCAAACAACAAGAAGAAAGCAGGGGCTGCAGTACTGGTATCAGACAAAATAGACTTCAAAACAAAGAAAGTAATGAGATAAAGGAGGACATTACATACTGATAAATGGGTCTGTCCAATAGGAGGATATCACCATTATAAACATATATGCACTCAACACAGGAGCACCAGCATATGTGAAACAAATACTCACAGAATTAAAGGAGAAAATAGAATTCAATGCGTTCACTTTAGGAGACTTCAACACACCACTCCAAAGGATAGATCCACCAGACAGAAAATAAGTAAGGACACACAGGCACTGAATGACACACTAGAACAGATGGACCTTATAGACATCTGTAGAACTCTACATCCAAAAGCAACAGGATACATATTCTTCTCAAGTGCACATGGAACATTCTCCAGAATAGACCATATAGTAGGCCACAAAAAGAGCCTGAGTAAATTCGAAAAGATTGAAATTCTACCAACAAACTTTTCAGACCACAGAAGTATAAAACCAGAAATAAATTGTACAAAGGAAGCAAAAAGGCTCACAAACAGATGGAGGCTTAACAGCATGCTCCTAAATAATCAATGGATCGAAGACCAAATTAAAATGGAGATCCAGCAATATATGGAAACAAATGACAGCAACACAAAGCCTCAACTTCTGTGGGATGCAGCAAAAGCAGTCTTAGGAGGAAAGTATATAGCAATCCAGGCATATTTAAAGAAGGAAGAGCAATCCCAAATGAATAGTCTAATGTCACAATTACCGAAATTGGAAAAAGAATAACAAATGAGGCCTAAAGTCAGCAGAAGGAGGGACATAATATAGATCAGAGATATATAAAATTGAGATGAACAAAACAATAGAAAAAAATCAATAAAACCAAGACCTGGTTCTTTGAGAAAATTAATAAAATAGATAAGCCTCTAGCCAGACTTACTAAGAGAAAAAGCGAATCAATACACATCAACAGAATCAGAAACGAGAA